GTTGGCCTCTGATCAGCGACGTAAAGAAGTAAAATATCAGATTACAAGAAGCGCTCCGAAAGGATTAGTCGTCGTTTTCGTCAAAAAATGACGTCATCAACAATATCACCTTATATTTGTTTATACACGGAATTGTTGTGGAACAACAATGCCGTGTACACAACAATGCAGAGTAAAGAAATAACGCTTAGTACCAAGCCAGTCGCATTATCACTGCTCTATATCGTCTCCGAACAGCGACATTAGACTGTTTAAGAAATGAAGAAAAGTGAAAGAAGACATTACCAACACCAAAAAGGTAATCTGATAATAATAATAATATTCATCCAAGTCATACTGCTCTTCAAGGGTTAAAACACTTGAATAAGACACCAAATTAACACCCCGAAGGGGGTTAGTTTAGTGTCTTACTCAAAATTTTTCAAGTGTTTTAAACCCCCATTTGGGGGTGAGGGTGAATTTAGTTTCTTACTCAAAGGTTGAAACACTTGAATGAGACATAAACTAACCCTTCCGAAGGGGGGTTAGTTTAGTGTCTTACTCAAGAATTTAAAACGCAACCAACCCCCCCGGAGGGAGGTTCGTCAAGTATTTTAACCCCCATTGGGGGGGGGGTTAGTTTAGTTTCTTACTCAAGGGTTAAAACACTTGAATGAGACACTTAACTAACCCCCCGAAGGGCAGTTAGTTTAGCATGTTACTTAAGATTTCAAAACGCAACCAACCCTCAATTAGGGTTGGTTAATTTAGTTTCTTACACAAGGTTGGTTGCGTTTTACAAACTTGACCAACCCCCCCGTAGGAGCTCCGAAAGGAGCGCCCTGCTCTAGTTTAATTTAAAATATGTGCTGCTATAAATTAAGCCTTTCCATGTAGATTGAAGGATTTTCAGGAAAGTAATCATTATGAACTTCTCTGCTCTTCGGTTTGTGTGTTGTTAATTTGCCAGGTTATTCCATTAGTAAGTAACTTGTAGTTCAAGATGTCTGCCTTGTGGGAAATTGCACTGTGGAGTCTGGTAAAACTCATCAACATATAACTGACATGGAGCTTTTATCACTTTTTTAAAGTGAGGGTGGATTTCTTGATCGAGGTGAGGAGCTGCCGGCATTTTCACCTGTGATGCCGGTCCGTGCTCCTCCATTTGCTGATGAAGAGGTGGAGCCAGAGCCTGAGAGAGCCACCAGTCCTTTGTTTGCCATTGCTCCATACACAGAGGCACAGGTCAGTAGTAACGCCAGGGAAAATGGTTTCTAGTCTGTAGGTTCTTTCCTGAAGGCGATTCAAGGACCACGTTTTTCTTTCGTGCTTTGTCATGTTGTGTGTGCTGCATGTTATCCAGCTTTTGTGTAACACAAAGCATAGAGTTGCGTAGAAGAGTCTCTGAGCTCCATACCTCTTGCTGACACGAGAGTTATCGTCTTCTGTGGCCTAAACAAGTGGTTTGGATTTTCAGTCATAGTTATAAAGTACTGCATACTCAAGCTTGGAAAGTAATTTTTAGAGAGTACAGTTTCTTGTGAAATTATGCATCTGGAGATAAATGAAGGCGATTTAATTTCTTAAGGTAGTGAAGACCTAACAGCAGAAGCATTTGACATTCATAAATTGAGTGTTTTGCACATTTATAGGGATGTTGGTGGCACTCCTTTAGCTATCCCTTCAGTTAAAACAACAAGATATGTCTTGTAAGCTTATAAGTTGTATTGTGTGTACATGTGCGCATGTATGTGCATGTGCATGTGTTATATACACATACCCATACTGTTCTACTAGATTTATGAAATGTAGTCATGTGATCTTTATGACAAAGTGAATTCTTGTAAACTCAAGAACTGAAGTAAAATGTCCAAAGGGAAGTTTTCTGTTTCCCAAAAGGAACAATTGCAAACAATTTACAGACATTCCAGAAATTGTGCGGATCAAAGGCTGCAGTTTGCAGTTTCCAGCAGCTGCTGTTTTCTGAGTAAGTTTTATTTGTGATGTGTCTGGGTTTAGGTTTGTTGATTCCGTTAGCAGTCTGAATTTCCACAGGCCTGATTTTATGTTAGGGGCATCCAATTCTGCCTTCGAGGTTCAACGACTTGTGGTGGCATTTACAAAAAAATGTAACTGTGCTTCTCATATGCAGTTCAGGATTTTTGTCCTGCTTTGGTGTGTCTACAATGAAGCGTTATCTTCCATCCTATCTGCATATTATAAAATGTTATCTTACGCTAATAGGGGATTTAAATTCATGTACTATGGGGCTGCTGGCCAGACTTAACTGTGGGGTTTATGATTTAGGGATATTCTAATGTGATGATGCATAACCAGCTTATCTGTTTGAAATTTCTTATCCATCATTGTCCTACTATTATGTTATCTTATTATGAATCATTAGTTGACAATGGTAATATTAAGACATTTATTGCTGGTCATTTAAATTGTGTTTACCCTTCAAATGCCAAGAATTTTTAAGGTGTGATATATTAAAAATACACCATCACACTATCTGAGCAGGAGTACACATTTTATCTCTGATTTTTTTGGGTCGCTGTAAATGGTTTGATTTGCCTGTGATGACTGGTAAAAGGTCTGAAGTGAGGTGCAAGCAAATGATTTGAAGTTGACACTACCTCAGCATCTGACTGTTTGCTTTGTCTCCCAGTCTGTAGTCTGGACTGGAAGTCTTAAAACATTCAGACATTAAATGTACTGCTATGATTATAAAGCTCTGATTAAGATGTAAGAGATGCTTCTCTTTTCAGGCACAAAATCTTCTTTTTCAGAATGCTGGGTATGTTGACTTATCATTGCTTCTCTCACATAATGATAACAGAATTGTCTGAGGCTATTATAAACTTACCAGAACTTTTGTTTTTATTTTTTAATCATTACCAGTACTTGTGAAGAATATAGAGATAAATCTTCACATATTCACTGCTAAACACTTGGGCAATCAACCATGATGCTAAGAAATGCATCTATGATTGGAAACATGGGTACTGCCATTAATATGTGTAAAAAGTCTACTTACTTTGAGTCCTCAAAGAGCATGCTAAGATCTGTGAATGTTGTGTGGAAGTTGGAAGACCTTAGTTGGAGAAAAGAGGAAATATTTTGTAAGATTTTAAAAGATAACTGTTTCTCAGATGTTGTGCCTTGTAATATGGTAGAAATTTATTGGTGTTCTGAAGTTGCTGACTGGCTCCATCATCTTCCTGATGAAACAGGCAGTAAGCACTTTTGAAATGTTGGTCAGTATCTACCAGACTGCATGGTGCAACATCCCAGAAGACATTCATCTTTGGGAAATAACTTGACATTATTGCCATTATGTAGTGGCTCTGATGCTGAGAGGGCCACAGTATGGGGGCAGCAGTCTTGGGCAGAGAGTTTGTGTCAATTCACCAGTGCATATTGGGCAAGCTGGTTTTAAAAGAACTGTATGTATGGTGTTTGGAACTATTCCTGCAGCCGACTTTCATTTTCTTGTGTCCAGGAATCTACTGTTTTGTACGTTGTGGTGGAATTTGAGTCTGTGTAACTTTTGCTGCAGTTTGTCTCAAAGATTTATGTTAATGCTTTTTGTCTACAGATGGTATTAAACCTTATTCATTAAAAGATTAATGTAATTTGTGATATTATATTTCAGTTATGATTGTGGTAATCATTTATTTCTTGTGAGGTAGAAACTGTGCAAAGGTAGCATAAATCATTTGTCTTTTAATTGTGATCAGGTATGAGTGGTTTGATGAGATGAGATTCTTATTTTTGGATTATTTAATGTATTTTGTTTTAGGCTGCAGAAGAAGGATTGGTCCTTATCCGGATTGCTCCGGATGAACAAGGACGCTTTGGATTTAATGTGAAGGGTGGTTCAGATCTGAATATGCCAATTCTGGTGTCAAGAGTTGCCTCTAATACACCTGCAGATCGCTGCTACCCAAAATTGAATGTGGGTGATCAAGTGCTCTTCATAAATAATCACGACATCTCTGGCATGATGCACGAGCAGGTTGTAAACCTGATTCGAGCATCCAGGGATTCTCCATCGGGCGAGCTGGTACTTATGGTAAAACCCAGTGGTGTGTATGTTACTTCGACAATTTTAATTTTCTACAGTTGTCCTCTCTCTCTCTCTTTTATTTAAAAAAAAGGCATTCAGAGCAACAGGGGAAAAGTTGCCTGAACAAAGTTTTGAGTAAATAAGCCCTAAAGTCAGCATTTGTGATGTGTTAACCTCTTACGAGTTACGGGGTTTTATAGGTCAGTAGATGCGAACTACCAACAGAGGACTGACTCATAGGATAGAGCATGGATTCAGGTTTCTGGTACTGTGAAAAATGGATTTTTGGGACCATGATGAGTCTGCCCCTATCACTGTGATCATCTCATATACTGCCCTTCCATAACAGGGTCATGTTTCTCAATATGTTTTTTATCTTTTAGCCAAAAGCTTGGCTAATTTGGATTGAGATTTATAAGAGCCAGTTTAGGTTGAGTGAAATGGAGTAGCAAGTCTATTCTCTGTGGGATTTGGTTTTCATGACTTTGTGAGTTTAAATTGTGGTGTTTTTAGCTGTTGAATTTTGCAGTCTTCCAGTTGTATACCAACATTTTGAAGGAACATGCTGTCTCCATCTTCAGAGCCCTTGAAGATGGAGGCAGTATGTTACTCTGAAATGTTGGTATGTGTACAGGAGGAAACTTCATGATGCAACAACCCAGCAGGCTACAATCTAGCTCTGTTAGACTTTGTTTATTTTACACCATTTCACTTTATTAAACCATGCTGAGGCAAATAGAAATTTCACATGGGGAATTTGAGGTTCTGATAGTGGCAAGTTTGAAGATGAAGGGTGATGATGGAGGCAGCATGTACCTCTGAACCATCAGTATACTTCTACCAGATGACAAGACAGCGATCAACAAACATGGGGAAATTTAAATTAATAGAGTTTGCATGAAAATTTTTGTTAAGAAGTAATGCAAGTCAAATCAGTAAATATTCTGGCATACAGCTTTAAACATACAAATTCCAATAAGTTTTGTCATGCTCTAGTGATAAATGCTATGCCTAATTATCTTTGTAAAATACCTGCAATTCAAATGCTGGCTTATGTATAAATACAGACAATGCCATTTTATGTGGTTTTAACTGAGCAGGCATAGTAGTAATGTATCCAACTTGTGGTTTGGAAGTGCCTTATTTACATTCCAGCTAGAGATGAGCTGTACCGACAGATTTCTTATGATTTTCCTCAGGATAGTGTAGGATTTGAGGTTTTCACGGTAGTGAGTCTGAAGATGGCTGTCTTCTGAGTTGTTTTGCCGTGTAGTCTGGTAGAAGTTTACCGATGTTTCAGAGGTTTTTGCTGCCTGAATCATCAGGGTGATGATCATGTCATAACTTCTTCTAGTTTTTCCAGTTTACTGTACGTAATTGTCATTTAATTTGACATTCTTGGGCTGTATATAACAAGTTGTCTTCTTTGCTTTTTAGCTGTGTATGAAGCCCATGAAGAAGAAGAGGAGCCACCGTTTCAGTATTTTCCTGATTTACCCCATTTGACAACAGTAGCTGATCAGGCAGATGCCTTGGCAGAGTCCATGTTGCTTTTAGCTGATGGTCTGGCTAGTGGAGCAGTAGTCGCACAGTTTGAACAGCTGTATCGTAAGAAACCGGGCCTGCCAACAGATGAAGCCAAGAAGAATGAAAATCAAAACAAGAATAGATATCGAGACATTTCACCATGTATGTGTTTCATCCAGCAGTTGTCTTACTGTAGACTCTTGTTATACTGCATCTCGTTAATACCGTGGTATTAGATGTACCACAAGTGCAAGACACTTGTATCAGTTCTGGCAAACTAAAATGATGTGACTAGTTCAGTGAGGAAGCACAGAATGTTTGGTTCTTTAAAAAATGCAGGTTGTAGAATCAGTAAAATGTGTGGGATGTGTCTTGAGTTGCATGTATTTTAATCACTGTAGTGATACATAAAAAAGGATTTCAGGAATTAAATAAATGTTGTTTTCAGTTATAATGCTTGTGTTGAAGGCTTCCCATGAAACTTGCAGTATAATGAGGGTCTGATACATTAATGAAAATGCCTGTTTTTCAAAGTTTGTTTTTTATGAAACAAACTCTGTAATATATCACTTGAGGCTTTCACAGTGACTGAATTTGATAAAATCGTCTTGGGCAAAAAGACACGTCAGTTCTGGATAGAAGCCCAATGTTTCAGAGACCTCTTCCTCCGTCATCGGGGGAATGATGTCTGAACTGACAACGACTTGTAGTTCGAGGTGATTTTATCGAGTTCTGTGATACACACCATGGAACTATATTCAGTTAAAGCCTGTTCTTAAAATATATTCCACTGAAGTAATGACATTGCTTATTTGCTGAATGTATTGAGTTGGAACAAGCAACCACTGCTGTTCCCATTCACCAAGAGGCATAGCTGAACAGGCATGGTGGAAAAATTACTACTAATTGTGAAAACATTAATCTCCTTTCAGCAGTAATAAATAAAAATGTGAACAAGCGAATATATTGCAATTGAACTCTGTTAGTTGCTGCCTTCTAGACACTTAATCATCTTCTGCTGGCAGATTGATGATAAAAGCAGCTTTGTAAATAAAATAAAAGGGCAGGCTATTCCAGGAAGTGGCAAACTTAACAACATTAAGGGAATGTTTTATAATTTTTGTTTATAAGTGAGGATAGTATAAATAGAACTTGTATTTATTAACAGAAAACAATAATTGTGCGCTTTTATATTTATTGGTTCTTTTTACAGGCTGCTGTTAAGCTTAAAACAGTCTGTGCAACGTTTGTTATAAGGGTTTTGTGTGTTTGTGTTGTATGTAGCCTCTTCAAGGCAGAATGTGATATCGTTCCCACTTTAATTTCAGACTATAAGAAATGCCACTCATGGGGAGAGACAGACCTCTGCCAATATGCAGGAACCAATTACTGGTTTTCCCCATCCACCTACTCCATTTCTTATACATGGTTTATGTTTTGACAGTTGTCATAATGCTTTTGACATGATGATAACTAAACTACGAACATTTTCACAGGATCAATAATTCTTCATTATCTTCTGTTGCCATGTAGAAATTTGACAACAGTAAACTGTGAATCGGGGAGGAGTCGGGTCCAAAGTACAAGGAAATACAAATTGCTTCTAATGGTGCATGTTACGTGTTCTGGTCAGGCCAGCAACTGAACCGAAAATGATTGTCACAGCACAGTTGGTACTGGTGACATATGCTGGCCGATGCTGTGTCTTTTTAACACACGTCATGACAGAAGTTGGGGGTTGTTCATCCATAACTGTGGCAAAAAACAAAAGTGCTTTGACTTGAACACGAAACTTGAAATAAAAGTATGCATTTTTTAAGTTGGCAGCTTATCAGAGAGCAAAATAAGATGGTATGGACATTGACATTATACTGCAGTTTGAACAACAGAGACGAAGTACAATCAGCTGTTTTGTGTGGTGGATGACGAGTGCCTCTTTTTTAAATACTAAATTGAGACTTCTTTATTACTGGCTGTTGTCTGTTCAGCATCTCTGGAGGGCCAAGGATATTTTCTATCATAGAATATTTATAAGATACAGGTTGTAACACATGTATTTGTTTTATGATTCCAGATGATGTAACAAGAGTTATTCTTATGGGTGGAACATCAGGAGACTATATTAATGCCAATTATGTCAACATGGAAATTCCTAGTTCAGGCATCATAAACAGATATATTGCAACCCAAGGTATGAGATAAAACACACAAAATTATAATTGTAGTAACATTAACTAGTGACAGATTAAACAGGCATGTATGGGTAGTGTTATTCGAAGACTTGTTTGCCAGTACTATGTTTACCAGATGTAAATTTTATGATATTGCTAAAGGAACGGTACATCTGCAAGATATGACTTATGCAGATCATCTTAAGTTGATTTCCATAGTGCTGCACTCTCGCCAACAAGGTAGGACGGATTACTGGTAATATGCTCTGGCTACCTGCCATGGTCTCGTTGACTGATGAATCTTCAGTCTGATTCCAGTAAGAATTTCCAGTCTGGAACTCTCTGAGACCTGTTGTGGGTTCTACATTTTCTCTTCTTTTATACATTTGTTCCTACTGACAGTACAGTATGTTGCCAGTCTCAGGTAAGCAGTTGCACTGGCCTGCCCTTGTACAGCCTACATTCCTCTTTATCTTCGTTCATCATCTTGTTCTCAATATTAAACACAACTGATTTCTATGCAGCGTCATCTCATAACTTGGGAACTATCAGACTGATTGTGATCATGCTTTATGTTGGAGGTACTTGCTCATCTGACCTGCTTATTGTATAGTATTAATAAGAGTATCAGAAGTTTGCATTCACAAACTTAAAATCTAGTTACAGCATTAGTGAGTATGTCAGAATTGTTATGCTGTGCATACATTTCCTGATGTGTTTATATTTCAGGTCCACTTCCAAACACGGTTTCAGACTTCTGGCAAATGGTTGTAGAAGCACAGAGCACTCTGGTAGTGATGGTGACACCCCTTGTTGAGCGAGGACGTACAAAATGTCATCAGTACTGGCCTGCTTTGTTGCAGACCTTAGAGTTGGGTCACTTGCATGTTACTTGCACAAAGGAGCAGATAGAAGCAACAGGCAGCTTCGTGTTCAGAGAGTTTCGACTAACAAATTTGGAGGTAATATTTTGCACTGTAAATTTCCTACCCAACAGAAGAATGGTTAATTTACATTTATTAAGAAAATTTTTATATTGCTAGTGGTACAGTCAATACACATAAGTTCTTGATGTGCGTCGATCAAGAGCACGTTCAGATGTGACTGCTTTCTTTGCAGCTATCAAACTTCAGCATACTTTAAGTCCATAACATACACAGTAAGTTTGCATAGTTACTACCATGATTACTGACATTGGCTTGGTTTTACTTTGGACACTGCAACAAACAGTACTGAAAGGGCTAATGATGATATACAGTTAATACACAATAATAATAATAATAATAATAATAAAATGAAGAATCAGAGCACTGTATGACAGAGGGCAGTACAGTTTGTGACTGTAATCTTTAGATTTACAAGTTATGCGGGAAGTTGGCAGGGGAAAATGCATGGCAGTGGCAGACAGCATGGATCAACAACTGCTACGCAAGCAAGAACATTTACTACCTACTCCACACTGGCACTACATAAGCATATTTATGGCCATTATGTTCTGAACTAATGCTGTGCTGCTATACTGCACAGCAGATGCCATCCCACCTTGCTTTCTCAAACCCCACACGTCTCAAGATTACAGTTGTGGGGACTGGTCAAGCTACTAAAAATGATATAAGATACCCAGAAATGAGTGCAAGACAAAGTAGGATTTAAGGTTTTCACAGTGGCGAGTCTGAAGATTGCTGTCTTCTGGGTTATTGCGCCGTGTAGTCTGGTAGATTTCCACCAACGTTTCAGAGGTCATACTGCCTCTGTCGTCAGGGTGATCATCGCCCTGATGACACAGGCAGTGGTGAATTTGTGACAAGCGATCACAAAATGCATACCATCACACACTGCCTGTTCTGGTTTCAAGAAAATGCAATTTTGAGTGGTCTCAATTTCTGCAGGTGATGTACACAATGGTGACATATGCACATAAATACAGTACATTTTAATTTGCTGGTAGCATCTTCAGAATTCAAAATTCAACTAGAGATTTGTGTAGTATTTCTTTCTTCGCTGAGTAATATTTTTTAAAGTTGATTTTAGATGTAGGATTTGAGGTTTTCACTGCAGTGAGTTAGAAGATGTCTGTTTTCTGGGTTGTGCAGTGTAGGGTGATCGCCCAGATGATGAAGGCAGCATGGACCTCTGAAACGATGGGAAATTAATACCAGACTACACGGTGCAACAATCCCAGAAGACAGCCGTTTTTGATGTTAGATCCTGAAGCTAGATTAGTTTTACCTCCCTTCTGTTGCAGAACGAAGACACATAAGCCACATGCAGTACCTAGCTTGGCCTGACCACGGTGTACCGGATGACTCTGTACAGTTCCTAGAGTTCACAGAGAGGGTTCGGAAAGCAAGAGTTGGCATGGTGGAGCCAACGATAGTCCACTGTTCAGCTGGTATTGGACGTACTGGAGTGCTCATACTCATGGAGACTGCCATGTGTCTTATAGAAGCCAACGAACCTGTATACCCTCTTGACATAGTAAGATCAATGCGAGATCAGAGATCCATGATGATACAAACAGCTGTGAGTATTGAGTTTCTGATGTTTATGTATCATCTTTTACTTTTATCATTCATGAATTGCAATGTTAAGCACATCTCAGCTGGACACATGCATTGCCCTAACATATCACAGACGTAGCCCTTTGTTTCTTCTTCTTCCTTTACATTGTAGGCTATATGACCTGTTATGGGCATTACATAACAGAATCCTTCCATCTTTTGAGGGGTCGGCCCAGGCGTCTTTTTCATTTTTGGTGGTATCTTAAAATCATTTTTGGTATTGTGCCTGAAATGATTCTTCTGGCAGAAGATATGGTTTATTCACCATTCAGCCACCTGACACGGCTTGTAACCCAAGAGAGTCTCATCAAATTCTGTATACATTTTCTTTCCAGTTTTCCCGGTACTGTGTTATAAAATCTATTATTGGTATAACGTTTAGTTGCTTCTCCATAATGTCCATAAGTTCTTCATTTCTTTTGTGACCAAAAAGTGTGTAACTTAAAGTCCTTATGAAATGCGTTTCTGCTGATATTAATCTTTTTCTTTCATTACTACGGACAGTCCATGATTCACTACCATAAATGAGAGTTGGTCTAGCAAGAATCTTATAAAATTTAATTCTGGTATATTTTGATACTAGGTTTGGTTTGAAAATTTGGTTTATGATACCTGTTGTTATCAAAAGGTTTGTGATTTCCACATTCACATCTTTTTCTTCCTCATAGGATAGGTGATGTCTCAAATAATTGAAAGTATTAACTTGTTCTATGGTTTTATTATTAATATCGATTTTGCTTGTTACTGGTTCTGTTCCACCTTAGTTTTTCCTATGTTTATTTCCAAAGAATAGTTTGCAGCTGTGATTTATTTATGGTTATTAACACTTTTATGGTTATTTTTTCTGAGAAACTGCCAAGTTTCAGTCATATGGTCATGACATTGTCCCCCATTCAAGGCTAGTAACATCTGAACGCAAGCCAGAAGGATCACTAAGAAGTTATTGAAATACAAGGGCAAGTCAAATGAAAACCTTAAAAGTTAAAAATTAAAAAAAAAATGGAGAACATACTGTGTGCGGCTGTAGACACAGCAGGTCATCAAGAGTTAGAGGCATGTACTGTGTGCAGTAGATCTGGTAGTGTAGGCTGTGTGACATCAGCAGGGTAGTGCAAAGATGGCTGCTCCCTTGGAAGAATGTACAAAGGAGGAACAGCATTCTGTCATCTGTTACTTCGTTAGCAAGGGTGTAAAACCATCAAAATCCATCCAGTTGCAGTACCGTAATGCATGCTTATCACTGCAGCAGGTGTAGAAATGTAGTAGGAAGTTTAAGAATGGCGGGGCAGATGCTCCTCGACCATGCCAGGCCTGCAGAGTCGTAATGCCTCACGCAATTTTGGAGATTCAGTATGTCACTATGGAACACCTTTACATTATGATGGACAGAGTGGTTGCCATGTTGGATGTCAGTCATGGTTTAGTTCACCATATCATTTGCAACGTGCAGCTGCTTCATCTGATTTTGTAACAAGTTGCTTTTTATAGGGTGGGGTTGTCAATCCCACGCCCAACCCCAACCTGGAGGACTAGACCTCCGTATTTACAGCCCCCAGAGGTAGGGTGGCCCAGCTATACCCCCAGGCACTGGGTAGTTCGGGTACCTCGGGAGTGCCAGTCCCTGTACTCACTGATGTTGGTCCCTGAGGGGCGTGGTTTTATTGATTTTATTTGATCTTGGATGATGGATAATGTCCAGAAGACATTTTTCTTCAACTTTAAAAATTCATAATAAAATACAATGTCACAGACTTTATTATTTCATGATGAACGATCATTATTTTCAGAGCCAGTACCGCTTTGTGTGTGAGAGTGTTCACAGAGCGTACAGTGAAGGAATTGTGAAGCCACTGCCAGAGTTCCACAGATGAGAAAGGAATATGTACTAGGAGACTATTACAGCTAATTACGTCTAACATAGGAGAAACTTGTCGTCTGAGCCCATATTTTCTGCTTATGGGAATTTTGGTGCTTTCTGGCTACAGTTACGTACATTTTCTTTTTTTATCAGCAGCTCTTGCCGTTGCTGCTATTTGTGATGAACTTTAACATTTTTACTGTTTGAATGCAGAAAATTATGAAACACCAAAACCCTTACGTCTCCTGCCAAAGGTTCTTCATTTTATTACATGAATAAAATTCAGAGTTAAATTAGTCATTAGTAATATTCAACATGACATTTGACATATGAAATATTTATATGGATTTTCCCTGTCACTACATATGAAATGTGTAATTTTCTAGATCATTGTAAGATGAAGTGTGCTGTCACATTTTTTGTTTGAATCATGCCTTAACATGATTATAAATTAATATCATGATGCAACCAACATTGCCATTTTGAAAACAGAGGCCTTAATTCACAGTTGTAACTATCAAAGACTTTTGTAACTTGCATCTTTGTTTTGTGATACTTTTTCATTGGATGTTTCATACCGTGCTTCTGATTGAAGTATTTACACTTTTAAGGACATAAATCCTCTGATTTAATAAAATAATCGTAATTTTTATACAGTAAAATTAAACCTGTTCACGTAGGATACTGTTACAGGGCCACTAAGTTTCAAGCAGTGTTAATCTGTGAAGTACATGATGATGAACAGCATTGTATAATGTCCTTTCATCGTTTATCCAATACAGAAGTTATAATGTTCATGACATAGTGAAACACTTCATGATTGGCGGATATCATTTTATCAACTTTACGGTATTGGTTACGTTCTGTGATACATTTTAGATTCTGATTTTATTCCTCAGCAAATATTGGTGCATGATTTCTAAGTAATGTGAAAGATACAAAGCTTTGTGTTGGTTAGGTGGAGGCCTTAAGAAATTCAAAGGACAGATTAATTGAGTGATACTCACACTATTGACATTTTTCTGTCAAGTCTATTCTTTATATTAGAATTGGATTATTTTTAAATCATGGTTTGAATGATTGTATCATCATACATGATATTTCTGCAGGATGAAGTTTTCTCATACGTGAGATGTAGATGCTGAACATTATAGGTTAAGTAGTCGTGTGATGTGTTCAGTATGTTTGCAGTATATGTTCATACATAACTGTTATACTGCAGAAGTGGAACATGTTTCTATGAACGTAACACCATGTTGTGTTTTAACATTTTAGGTCAGTGCAGGATACTTATGTTCCATTGAGTAGTGAATATTTTGGCAAAATGGGAATATGTTGTCCCACTATGTCATGATATAACAATTTTATGCATTCAGACAAACAGCATCTTGTGTCTAAATTTCTTCTAATGCTTTATAGACTGCCAGAAATTAATTTATAATTGAAACATCTACTGCAATAGGGATTTTCTTACAAACATATTCCTCACTAGTGTGAAGACTAACTCTTAAGTTGTAGTCAATGGCAGAAATCAGAACTAATCGCGAACACAAGCAGAACGTAATCACCTCCCTGCCAGTTCATGTAAGTTGCTTACATTAAATTAGTAAACATGTTATTTGGGACATATTTTTTGTCATGAGGATGACACATTAGCACTGAAACATGGAGCCAAGTGAGATTATATTTCTATGTGAAAAAGTGAAAAAATTGCTTAAATAATAGTTCTTGGATAGGGTTCACAAATTAGTGTGCCTGTAGATGCATGTGACTCACAATACTGATTCATTGTATGTAAATCATCGTGTCATGTTGTACGGTGCTAAGTAACCGTGACAGTAGATCTAAGTAGCATCATTAAGTAACTTAGAAACCAAATTTAAACAGAGGAGTTAATTTGAAATAATTGCTCATTATAGTTTTAAAATTCTTGTTCTTCATTCACATGCTTTATTTTAATGTTGATTGTAATAAGAGCTTTATTTAATATACATGCTTACCAAAAATTCACATTTTTTCCCATACATTCATTAAAATATAGTGGCATCAAAGATGCAATGGAAACAAATATTATACAGTATCAGTATTTACTGCCATTACTAATGCCTGTAAAAGTATGTAAAAGAATTTTACAAATTATATTCAGTTTCTGATTAATTAAATTAAATTAAATTAAATCTGTGGCGTAAAAACTCCAGAGAGCCAAAGCCGACTAGCATGACTGCTGGCCTCACGTCCACGTGCCTAAATAGAGGTGAACGATCATCCAACCAGATATAGGGTGACGTGTGGTTAGCACGATGAACCCTCAGCCATTGCTAGCTTTCCTGACCGGATTACGGTACTCATTGTAGCTCCCCAATTTCATCACAATGCTGGGTTGGCACCGGTCCCATACACTGGTCGAAAGCTCATGAGAAAATTTCTTCTCCCCCGAGACTCGAACCAGCGCGCATTCCGTATCGCCGGTCCGAAGCATGATGCCTCTGAGTTTAATTTCAGAGTAACATAAGGTATAATGCTGAATCTCATCATGTATTTTGTAAGAGTGTTTGTTGTATGTGGCTAATCTTGTATGTACATTATAAAATTAAGGTTGGCTAAAGTATGGTACAATATGAGGACAGGTTACTGCGGTCAGTTGAAATAATAAGCAGAACATATCACGCCTCATAATTGTTTTTATATATGTACTCACACGAAACATTCTTTTTTGCTGTATTCATTCATACTACGGTGTGCCTTTTAACACTGAATGGGATTTATTATAAACAGTGGGGCAAAGGAAGCATAATGTGCTTATGGAAGTTGCCAAGGAATAAGTACATTGAATGTTCTGTGGCAAGAAGTCCCTGTTCTACGTTTTTGATTCATACTAAATTTGTTCCCAGACTATTCAGTGAAACCCTGGGGTTTTGTGTGATAAGGCAAGGAGTTCCGTGAGATAAACTCAATGACATTAGTTTCTTGCTGTTACCCATCTAAAGTCATTGGTACCTCAGAAACCCAAAGGGTTCCTTGGTCAAATTAATTTTAAGGAATGTGGGCCTGGGATGCTATCATTGCCATTAAATAGACCATTGACAAGTAAATAAGAATGGTCACTCAATTATACAGAGATTTTAAATTTTCACTTAGGTGAAGAAAATATAAAGTAAATCTGTGTAATAAAATAGCTAATAGTGCTAAGTAGCAGTGCCGGGACCATTAGGATTTTTCTTTCGTAGAGAATCAGTGTTATGCTGAGCAGTTCACTTTTATATCATCATTGTCAATATAAATGCACTAAGTTTGTTAGTAATGATGTAATTATCTGTTTTAATAGCAGAGTGTGGCAAGATTTATATCAAGTTTCTTATTTCCAGTGGATATATCATATTTGCAGATAGGAAATTTGGTAAAGACACATAGGTTTTTACTGATATTGAAAAGGCATGTGATGATATAAACAGGAAATGTGGAAGATTTTTACACAGTGCAAATGCTTCCAAATGTTGTGTTGAGAGAATAAAGGACATTCATGACAGATTTGAAAACATGATAGCAAAGAATGTGGATGTTACCAGCTGTTTGGAGTGGTCAAACAGGGAAGTCTTTTATCTACTCCTGTCTTGCTCAGCTGTGTAGTAGATGAGATTATAAGAAGAATGACAAGGAGAAGAGAGTGCATTACCAAAACGGGCATGAAACCGACTACATAGTTACATGGGAACCAAGTGAAAGCATCTCACAGATGAAGTTTAAGAGGATTGTTACAGTCTGTAAATAGCTGATGGACACTGTATGTAACCGACTGATTCCATTTAATAATTTTGCCAGTGGCGTCTGGGGCCCAACCAGCCTCCTATCCAATGGACACCGGTGTTCTTTCCCTGGGGTAAAGTGTGGCCGGGGTTTGACACTGACCGCTTAGCCCCATATACTGCCGAGGTTAAGACTTTGCTAGTGGCATTTGGAAGACAGACTTTGTTGTAATGATAGAAGTGTTGGTACTGATAATAATTCCGTAAGATTGTTACTTGAAGAGATTGTCTTTCATATGTGGCTAAAAGTGGAATGCTACAAATTTTGGAGTTGTGATTTAATTAGATGGGTCAACAAGCTGATTCAAAAGAAGCAACACAAGATATCATGAAAAAGTAACTTTTTAAATTAATTCTAACATTCTGATTCCAAATCTGTATGCAAAAGTTTACCATTTTTCATACATGCATTTAAAAAATAAACATCACTTACAAGGGGGCCTGGCCTATTGTTACCCTCCGATTCGGCTCTGATTTTACAACATGGCAGTGTGAATTAGGTGCTTGTAATCTCTGCACATCTGATGCCAATTATGGGTTCTGTTGCCCTTTTTGAGTGATCTTTGTACAGTTAGTGTGGAGAAATGACACTGTTGTGGCTGTGTGAATTTGCCAGACTGTTGTATGTTTATTGTGGTCATCATTTGGGACATCAAGACACAACTTGGGTACCAGTACTGCATGCTACGTATTGTATTGCGTAAATTATGTGAATAAAAGGAAATAAGAGTATGTCTTTCCCATGAAATGGCAATAATCACCCACCACAAAGACTTATTTTCTGACATATGAAAATTTGCGTTTTTTTGGGAGCAGCAAAGAATTGAGACCCTGTTCATGTACCATCACCTAACTGGAAGGAACTGCCAAGAAACACACCTAATGGAGTAAATTGAACTTAATGATCTAGTATTGCTTCTTGAAGGTATGAGAATTTCCATGTTTAGAGAAGTCAGAAATTGTTGACATTTTTTGGGAAGCAAGATTCTGTGTATGTGTGCCTGGACAGACATGGTCTGAAAGAAGAATTGAAATGATCTACCAAGAGATAAATAAATATAATAGAACAGCAGTCAAGGAAAGTGGGATCCAGTCGTGGTCGATAACAAAGTTTTAGTTTTTGCAAAGAGAAGATGAAACTGTTAACAAGAGGAAAAAGTAACTTCATTTGTAATGAATTTAAGCCAGAACAGATTTCCTTTTTTCAGTTCTTATATTTTTGTTGGTGTTAAAATTTTTATCAACTATTTATAATGTTTCATTGTTATATGAAAGTTTATTCTCATTTAAGTAGCATTGTTCTCCGTAATTAAGAAGTTCTTTTAAGAAGACCTTTGATGAATTTAAATAAGTGGTTTCATTCTTGTTTGAAGTGTTCATGTTTTTTGATGAGAGTAACATAAAGTTTTATATTGGCTTTTTAATGTAGCTTAAATCATCATAACCAGACACAATATATGTAGATGCTGCAGGTCCTGCCCCATATTTTTTGATATCTGGTGGCCACTGTCTCAACAAAATAGCTCTTACTTTTGTGTTCTTTCCAAACCATGCAATTGTAGTATCACTAAAATTGACATATAAACTGATGAAACCTTGAAACCTCTCGGTTATTATTTTTAAGTATTGAATTAACAAATAAATATTCTTCGGTTTATCAGTTGTTTGCTGCCAAAGTTCATTGAATGTACTTATTTATATATAAGTATGCACTTGATTGTTGAATGGCTCCATAAACTCCAAAGCTTTGACAGATATAAATTACGTAATTGCACTTTACTTTTCTGTGTAAGTGTTCATTATCTTAGCATTCTGAGCCCCTTACATTTTGACAAACACTGAACTTTTGTCTTGTTACTCCATTGCTTCACATGTCGTGGGCTCAGTCTTGTATACTCGGAAGTACGGTTATTTAGTTATGACTAATGTAGTATGATGTGGAGCCTTGTATGGCTGAGTATTTATTGTATAAAGCAAGCCAGCAACAGGAGGTGCCATATGAAAATGTGTAATAGTGATATACTTTATGCACTTCAATTCTGACGTGTTAAAAGATTTTCTTCCTTAATTCTGGTTAAAACAATGTCAGTACGTCAAACATTCATTAATGGTTGCAAGGTACTGTGTTTATTTCAGGAACATGCATATTCAAACAAATTGCAGTTTCCACTTTTTGGGAAAAAAATTTGTTTTTCAACATTGACCTTATTTATATTCGCTTCTCGCTGTATTACCTTCATATATCATATGAAGTGTTGAAGTTCTTTTTGTTTGTTTATCAGAGTGGCCATCTTCCAGAAATTTATTGCAGGTGGAAGTAAATTTTGCTTGTAAAATTCATTTCTGAAGAGGTGATCACTTCCTTCTGGTACATGTTGATTCCTTTCAGTTAAACATGCTTTGGTGCAGCTTTATCTGTTGGAACTGTCGTATACATTGTGTGACGTGGAGAATTTCCAGTAATCAGGGAACAAAAATTATGATTCTGTCCATATAGTTTAACTGAACACAGGTTCTGCAGTGTTCCAGGGCTGGTTCTCCTGTGTCATTCAAAGACATTACATTGTATTAAATCTTACTTTTAAAAAAAACTGTCAGGGTTTAAAAGTTATACGCTTTGAATTAACAAGATTCATTATTAGTAAACTGTAAAAGAGAATGCTTATCTGATTCTGATTTTCCTCTGACGTAGATGCATCGGCCTATGTTGCGTAGACACAACAAAAATACTTTTGTTCTGTGGTGTAATCATGCTCATACAAGACGAAAAGAAATTGACTGCGCTGAAGCTGATTTAATCCCAAAAGTATTGTGAACATTTTAAAAGAACTAATAGAAATAACAGATAGGCTTCCAACTATACCTGATACCAGTATCATTTTATAATTTTGTTCCAATATTTTGTTGAGTATATTATCTACATCAGAGTCTGTAAGTAAAACATATAGAACAAGAATGTTTCACTTCCATGAAAATGCCTTGTTTCTTATGTACGAACACCATACTACCTCTTTAATGTAACATCATCTCAGCTGGAAGAGATGTTGAAATATTAAGCTTTTTTCTGTTGCATCCGTTAAAAGCAAAACAGAGAATTCAGAGTCCGATCCTGTTCCAGTTAAAGAAGTTATATCACGTGTGTGATTTATTGTCATGATGCCAATTATTTTCATATACATAAACTTATACTTGCCTTGTGAAAT